GTCATCAACTTGTTGCGTCAAATTTTATGGTTCTAACTCTTATCTTTAATTAATATTTGTCAACAATTCTTATCTTTAATTAATATTACTTATATAATTATGTTAACAATTCATATAATAATTGTTGAAAGGATGTTTTTCAATGTTGAGTTGATAAAATCTTACCTAAAACTAATAACTGAAAAAACAATATTAAAATACTAATAATTTTCATCTAAATAGTGTAAGCAAAATAAATTTTGAATTAAATATGTATATGGAGTTTGTTTATATTTTAGGTCCTGAATTGAAATTTCGCTTTAGGCCCCCAATCACGTTAAGCCGCCCCTGACCGTACCCAAAACTAAAAATCTAGTTCGAACACAAATCAATAGTGCAAATTGATCATAAAAACATTTCAAATCTATCGAAATCATCAAATCGTTATTTTGAGGTTATCATATATAATTGAATGTTGCTCGAGGTCAACTCTAAACTTAAGGAACTCCATAATCCTATTCAAGGGTCCAAATTATTCTCGAGTACCCAGGGACCCTTGCAAACCATCCAACTAAGTCACAATTCACCCTTTGGACTTAGTGGAATCTTCAAAACTCGAACCCGTACTCGTTAATCCAACATATTGACTTTGGTGAACCCTCTTAAGTTTCAAACTTCCAACACTCACCAACTCTTCTAAAACACATTTGACCACTTGGAAAGTCGTATCACCCATCTCCACAAGTCATGAACGGCTAACCAAAGCTATGTGGAGGGGTGAAACCGGGAAAAGAAATAAAAATCATAAAATGACCTTGAGAATTGTTACACACAACCAACAATCGCTACCAACTAATATCATCAACCACCACTATTAATCATCACCATCACCACTAACTACTATACATAACTATCGCCAGGGGCAGACCTACAGTGGTTCAAGTGGGTTCATATGAACCCACTTCGTTGAAAAATAACACTGTATATATATGTATATTTAATCAATTTTTAAAATTTTATATGTATATATTAAATTTTGAACCCACTAACACAAGTTGAAGCTTAGCCGAGTGGCTGAGGGGGTTCAATTTTCCCAGCCAACCCGGGATCGAATCCCTATAGCCACATTTCAGTTTTAATTCGTTTTTTTTATATATAAAACATTCAGACACAATTTTGTCCTAAGTAACTTTTGTCCTTTTAGTTACTTAGGAACTATAAAAAGTAGAATAGCTTTTTACTTTTACATTTAAAGTCCAATAGTCAACAACTTTTGTCCTTTTTGTTTTTAGTTTTAAAAAAAAAAAAAAAAAACTCAACCAAAAAAGCACTAATCCCTATTATTTTCAATTTTAAAAATCATTTTATCTTCTTCTTTGTTGAAATCTTCTTGAACCTCTCTTACTTTTCCCCCCAAAATTTTGAGCATATTTTTTTGTTGAAGGAAAAAAACTCTCCCCATCTCTCAAATCTTGCACAAGTATGTTTTTCGCTCTTGATTCTAGTCTTTATATATACATATATGATTATTGTGGTTATTTTTTATTTCTTCAACTAAAAAATCCCTTATCATTCTAAAATCAACAAAAAATTACAAATAATATTAGGTATGTTTCTATGTATTCAATTCTGAAATTAAGGTTATAATTATTTTGTTTAATATTTTGTTTTTATTTGTTAACTGTTGAATGAAGAGAAATCATTCATAATATTCTTTTATCTTCTTAGTTTATATTGAAGCCTAGTTTTTCGTTCATCTTGTTATTTACCGTCTCATTCATAAGTCAATGTAATTTTTTTTCAAATTTATTAACATTGTTTAGTATAGTCAAATATGTATGTTGTTAGACTCATAAAAATTACAAATAATATTAGGTATATTTTTATATCTTGAACCCACTTCGTGAAAATCCTGGGTCCGCCACTGACTATCGCCATCAACCAATGTTATCACCAATCATACCTAGTCGGTACTTGCAATCATATTTGTTAGCCATCTTTACCGCCAATCATATTATAATTTTATAATTTTATAATTGTATTGTTCGGTTAATTAGCATTTTATATGAAATTTATATTTATTAATCTAATGCATATAAATATTATACATTTAGATATTCACAAAACAACAGTCAAATTCTAGCTCAAATTTTAATATAATATTTAAATATTTAAACAATTTTTATACACATCTTAATCTTTGAATATGTCTTCAAATTTTGACTTTGCGAAAGAAAAAAAAAAGCATTAGCCCCTCATTCACTCTCCATAATTGTAAAATAATGTATAGTAAGATTTTGAATTTAAATTAAATATATTGAATGCTTCAAAGCTTTGTTTTTTTCTCTTAATACGCTAGAAAACTTGACTTTAACATATACACATAATGTTTATTTATGTGATGGAGAAAATTTAAGAAGAAAAAATGTAAAACATGATAAGAAGAAAATTAGTTTACATATTTAGCAAGTTCACATGACGTGTTTAGTACTCCTCCTAGCCACTTTACTTATTATTCTTGCGTAAAATAAGGGTCCAAAATAATTGTTAATTTAAAAGATCAAAATATAATTTGAGTATACTCATTCTATTTTGATTTTAGTAATAATTATTTTTGAAAGTAAACATTGACTAATTAGTATAAGAAAACTAAGTGAAGAACGCAAACATATACACTTCAATATTATTGTGATCGCTTAGATTAACTTTCTTTTTATTTATTAAAGAGAAAATATTTATTGTAAAAATCTTAGTAGATTGACTATCTACATTTACTTTTAGTTTTTTTTTTAAAATGACTATCTACACTCTGACGTGAGTATTCTATTCACACATTGTAATTATTTCCAATTTCCCCTTTTCCTATTTTTATTTTTCCTTTAAGAAAGAATATTTATTGAACAAAAATATCATTTTAAATAATTAAAATAATAAATAAAAATATGATAATCAAAATAGACAATTTTTTCTTTTTTAGAAAAGAATCGTCTCAAATTAAATTATGTACATCTTTAGTTATATTGCTCTTTTTAAAGAGTTCATCCTTTTTCTTTCTTTATTTATGCTTTAAATAAAATTAAATAAAAAGACAAACAAGAAAAACAAAATTAGCAACCACTACACTCTACATTAATTAGATCTCCCATTTGGACAATCAACAAATCGAACAAAATCAATATATATACTTTCCTAGTTGAAAAAATCTTCTCCTCTTCTTTAGTTATTGTGGTTGCTTAGATTTTTTTTTTAAAAAAAAATATTAAAAAAGAATTATTACAAAATCTTACTAGTAACTTAGTTAATTGATTATCTACACTCTCACGTGAGAATTTTATTCACACATTGTAATGTTCACGGATCGATTTGGGTCAGTTATTGAGCAAAATTAAAACCAAACCAACTTAATCGGTTTCAAAATTATCAAAATCAAACCAAATCAAATATAATATACATTTATCGGTTTAGTTGTTATCGATTTCGGTTCGGTTTGAATTAGTTTAATTAGTTATTCAGTTATCAGTCATACACAAAAATAAAAGAAACTATTTAAAAGATGAAAAAAAAATGACAACAATCCATTCAAAATGAAAAAAATAGTTAGAATGACTAACATTATAAAACTCTCGATCACTTAATTTACTACGAACAAAGCTTCAAAATTCACTATTTTGTCCTAGACGGAAGAGACAATCAATCCCAAAGAATTATCATAGATACACACATATACATGAAATCAACAAGATAAATGTTCTTACCTTGGACATTTTTACTTTCATAAGTAAATTATAAATAAATTTTGATGAAAACATATACGAGATCTTTAAATTGTTTATAAAAATAATATATTATGTATGTAAAATAATAAAATATATATGAATATAATTTTTCAGTTTGGTTCGGTTATTTTTTGGTTTTTTTACGAATAAAGCTATAACCAAACCAAATACTATAGATTTTTAAAAATCAAAATCAAACCAAATCTAATCCAAATAAAATTGATTTATTTAATCGGTTTGAATCAATTTTTATCCGGTGAACACCCCTAATTGTAATCATTTCTCCATTCCTCTTATCCTAATCTTATTTTTTTTATAAATTCATTGAACAAAAATTATTATTTTAAATAATTAAAATGATAAATAATCTTTTAATAAGTATTATCTTTTCACGGTGAGGGTTTATTTAGTGTGCACAAAGTGCTCACCATAGAAACTGTGACAGAAATCATAACGGCTATGAGTTATTCTGAATTTTCAAAAATAAAATAAATTATTATGATAATTAAAATAAATAATAAAATTGCTCTTTTTTTTTAAAAGAGTTTATCATTTTTCTTTCTTTCTTTCTTTCTTTCTTTCTACTTTCAAATAACAAATAAAATGGTCAGGAGGCGAATATTTCTTCTAGAAAAGAATCATTTCAAATTAAATTATGTACATCTTTAGTTAAATTGCTATTTTTAAAGTGTTTATCCTTTTTCTTTCTTTCTTTATGCTTTAAATAAAATTAAATAAAAAGACAAAACAAGAAAAACAAAACTAGTAACCACCACACTATATATTAATTAGACCTCCCATTTTGACAATCAACAAATGAGACAAATTCAATATGCTTTCCTAGTTGAAATAATCTACTCTTTTCATAGTTCGTTATCGTGGTTATTTAGATTAACTGTCTTTTTATTTTAAAAATAAATAAAAAATTATTTTAAAATTTTTTATTAGTAACTTAATTAATTGAAGGCGAGCGTTATTTCCCCATTCCTCTTATCCTACTCTTATTTTCTTAAAAAAAAATATCCATTGAACACAAATTATTATTTTAAATAATTAAAATGATAAATAATCTGTTAATAAATATATTATTGTCACGATGGGAGATTTATCTAGTATGCACAAGTGCTCATCATAGAAACTATGACAGAAATCGTAATAGTAATGAGTTATTCTGAATTTTCAAAAATAAAATAAATTATTATGATAATTAAAACACATAATAAAATTTCTCTTTTCAAAGAGTTTATCCTTTTTTTTTTTCTTTCCACTTTAAAATGAAATAAAATAAAAACAAAATTAGCATCCACTAAAACACTATATATATTACTTAGACATCCAATTTTGACAATCAATAAATCAAACAAAATTTAATACAGTATAACTTTCCTATTTATATAACTCACAAAATCTTTAAACTTTAATTAATTATAAAAGCGTTGAAAAAATCTTCTCCTCTTCTCTTCTCCAAAATTTTCAAAAATGATACCCAGAAAGAATATGGGTCGGGTTTCGCCATTGTTACTGATCTTACTTGCATTAGGTTTCTTCTTTGCAACATACAATTTGGTTACATTGATAATTCACAATAGGGCAACGACAAGTAGCAGTGTTAGTATTAGTACTAGTGGTAGTAGTAGTAATGGTGGAGGATCGGAATGGTTTGACCCGGTTAAGGAATCGAATTTAGTGCAATCCGGTGACCGGAAATTCCACGTGGCATTAACGGCGACTGATGCGCCGTACAGTAAGTGGCAGTGTAGGATTATGTACTATTGGTATAAGAAGATGAAGGAGAGGGATGGATCCGAAATGGGTGGGTTTACTCGGGTTTTGCATTCGGGTAAACCTGATAATTTGATGGAGGAGATTCCTACTTTTGTTGTTGATCCTCTTCCTGAAGGGTTGGATCGGGTGAGTTTAATTTTTATAAAAAAAATGCTGGTTTGGATGAATTATTCTTTTGGGTTTTGCGTATTTTTCAAATATTTAAACTGTTAGTTGCGGAATTTTACTCATGCATGAGGTGGTGTTAAGGTCTGCATATACTATACATCACTTGTGGGATGCTATGTTGTTGTTGTTGTGGAATTTGTGTATCCTCATATGTGTTTTATTGTAGGATATGATATGAGTACAGTTTTTACTCTTTTAAATGTTAATTAGAACTTTGTGAAAAACTTGGAATTGATGGTTTGAGACTTGAGGAAGTGAATTTTATGTTTTTTTCATGTTGAGGTTATTTTGGAAAGGCCTCTGGTTTTGATAATTTGATTATAACCTATGTGACTGATAAGTTTACCCCTTTTCTTGGGATTGGTTAGTTTCTGGCTTTGAGGAAGGAGGTTTTAGTTTCTCATGTAAGTAAACAATAGAGTTGAATAGTTTGAGTTTTAAATTTTTGGGAAGATTTGTGAGTGTCTTAAATTTTGGTATACGGAAAGTCTGAGTGTATGGGAATATGTTCTTGTGAGTGGCATATACAGAATTTCATCGAGGGTGTTTGACAATTAACGAAGGTGGTGGCTGAACCCGTGATCACCAAAGTAACCCAGGGAGTGTGAGAAAGCTTCTTAGATGTTTCTTTAAGCTTTAAGTTTGATTGGGAAAAGAATCTACATCAGAGTTTCTATTATTTTACTGAAGGAACTAAACAACTTGTTTATAAAAACGGAAACATAGCTGAATTGGGCCTAAAGCTTGTGTTATTCCCTTGAGGTATCAGGGGGAGTTGGATCCTATCTCAGTGATGCTGAGATGCTGATTTCTGAGTAGATCTTTCCGTGCTATAAATAAAAAGATTACACAAGCTGGGTTTCGGACCCATGGCAATAGCAAGGGAAAGTATCCACTTTCCCCTTCAGTGAGGTGCTGAAATGTTTCAACACCCTTCACTTGAAATATATATGGTTTTCTCTTCTTCTTCTTTTTCTATTTTTCATACCTAAACAGTACTTTTTACGGCAAAAGGAAAAAGAGAGTGAGGAGGGTTTTGCACAGATTGGAGCTTGTCTTGTACTCATGTCAGTTTCAAAATTGGTATAATAAATCCTATGAGAGATCTTCTTTGTAGCCTAGGGTACAATCCTTTCCAAATACTAGGCTATCAGTTGAAGAAGCTAATATTCCCCTTCATCCTGCTTAAAGAAGCTATTGAATTAAAACTGATTTTGCAGGTGAAGATGATTCCGGACTATTTGCCATGTCTGGAATCATCTTAATCTATTCTTTTATTTCTCAAAAACTAATAGGTGATGATGATTCCAGATATGGCAAGTAGTATCTTTTCTCCAGGACATAAGAGGAAAATGTAGTTATGTCAAAAATCCGGTCTCTTTTGACAAGTTAATTTTTTTATTATGGGCAGAGCTTGTCAAGGAAATAAGAAGGGGAAAGATTCTTGGTGGAAAGGAAGAGAAAATAAGCAAGTAAAACAGATGGCCATGTTTAATGAATCAGTTAGAGTTGGCCATTACAAATTTTCCTGCTATAGACTAGCCAAGATGAAATTGGCTCAAACTCTTTCCAATAGTTTGGCTCTTCCATTTCTGCTAGTGCATGCCAAGATAGTTTGGTTTTCCATCTGCTCAGTTTAGGTCTTTCATATCTTCTGTCCCGGGGCTCAAACTATGTATGAACTTTTAGATAACTTTAGGGGTGATATGGCTTTGACCTGTTCAAATTTTTTTCCTTTGTTCAAGGAAATATTTGTCAGAGGGAAACTTGAGTGATTTCTTCAGAAGCTCAAAGCTTAGAATAGGAAAATGATTTGATTTTTTTCTCTTTCAACAGTTTACAAATGAATCAACAAATGGTCATCTGCTGTTTGAAATCATGGGAGCCTCGAGTAGTTTACTGAAATTGAGTTGTTCTGACAATATCTTTTATTTATGTGAAAGCTTTGATTCTCTGAGTTTAATTACTTAAGTTGCTTCACCAGCAAAATGTTTCTCATCCTAACTTTTCTGAAATTTTTTCCATTTTATCTTCAGGGTTATATTGTTCTTAACAGACCATGGGCTTTTGTTCAGTGGCTTGAAAAGGCAACAATTGAAGAAGAGTAAGTCACTACACTGGATAATGTATACCATTTTTTCGTGTATGCATATAGTCTGAACGGTACAATATGATATGACTGATGCAGATACATTCTAATGGCAGAGCCCGACCATGTATTTGCAAATCCCTTGCCAAACTTGGCTCGTGGAGATCTCCCAGCCGCATTTCCCTTTTTCTACATAAAACCAGCAGAACATGAGGGAGTTATACGAAAATACTATCCAGAGGATCTAGGCCCAGTGACTAATGTTGATCCAATTGGAAATTCTCCTGTAATAATTAAAAAGGTTAGCTGTAATATGCTATGTGATGAAAATGCTGTCTGATCTCATTATTATGTCTAGTTTTTGGGCTGGTCATGTCTCTGGTCCATGTAATCATTTTTGGTCTTCTGTGTTGTTTTTTTCTGATGTTGCAGTCCATTTTGGAGAAAATTGCTCCTACATGGATGAATATTTCTCTGAGGATGAAAGATGATCCAGAAACCGACAAGGCTTTTGGCTGGGTTCTGGAAATGTGTGTGATGTTTTTGTTTCTCATTTCAGTTGTTGCTCGTAGTTGATGTTATGTTTGGCTTATGAAGTCTAAATTTAATTTGTATTTCCTTGTTCCAGGTATGGCTATGCCGTGGCATCTGCTTTACATGGTGTGCGGCACATTCTTCGAAAGGACTTCATGCTACAGGTCTACAAGAGCTAAATGAAAATATCTTTTTCTTCGTTATGTTATGCTTGACTAATCCCTAGCTAACATATGTCGGTCATTTTCAGCCACCTTGGGATCTGGAAGTTGGAAAGAAGTTTATTATTCATTATACCTATGGATGTGATTATAATATGAAGGTAAAATAAACACTTACAGATTCTGTTCTTGCAAACATGGAATTTTTGGCCTAACCTGTAACAAACATTGTTCTGTTCATTGAATCCTTTTGATGATTAAACAGGGAGAGTTGACATATGGAAAGATTGGTGAATGGAGATTTGACAAAAGATCTTACCTACGAGGCCCTCCACCAAAAAATCTTAGTTTGCCCCCTCCAGGGGTTCCTGAAAGTGTGGTACGTTTAAACCTCTGTTTACAGCTTTGCGGTATGCTGTAGAACTACTAACTTTATAAAAAGTACCTGGGAAATCATTCAAATTTGTACTGCCAACTTTAGAATTGAGATTGCCGAGATTTATATGTTGTGTAAACAACAGAGGCTATCTTTAGTTTTGGTATTGTCTCATTGCATTTGTTTTGCATACTCTGATCAGATTGACTTCCCTTTCTTGACGTGGCCAAAAGGTACTAGCATATGTTATGGCTTCCCTTTGCTTCATAGCTTCGTTTTACCTTATTGGTCATTGCTGTTTATCTTTCTTCTATCATAGAAGTTTACGACTATAGAGCCTCAGGCAACAACTATTTTTGACGTTTTTTCTCAAGATGAAACCTGTAGGATGGACTAATGGGAATAGATGGACATGAGAATCACCTTAGTTCAGGGCTTACTAGAAACAATAGTCCATCTAATATGATGACACTGGTAAATATGGCTCTTCTAGAAGGAAAAGGAAAAGACAAAATCCTATTGCCATTACCAAAATTATGCATAGTTTTTATTTCAGGTCCTATATTTCCCAAGTTTGGATTGACTTTTGGTTTTTGACTTATTCTAACTTATGGCTGACTTATTTTTATCATTTTAGCTTAAAACGAAGTGCTTATTTTTTTCTGATGATTGTGGTGTATGTGCTTGCTTTCGCGTACCTCGACTAATTCCACGGGGTACCTGCCATCTCCCACCAACAATAGGTACGAGGTAACTCTATCCACCAAGGCTAGGACAGATATAAAGAATCACCTAGTTTTTTTGTCTCCACTGGAATTTGAACCTGAGCCTCATGGCTCTCAACCGTTTCATTAACCACTAGGCCACACTCTTGGGTGCATTATAAGCATTTTTTTTTACTCGAACAATCCAAAAATGCTTAAAAGCTATTTTGGCTTAAAAGCACTCCAAATATGTCAATCCAAACAGACTTTTAGTCCTATTAGAGATTTATATGCTGCTACTAGAAACAATAGAGAACTTCTAGCATTTCTTTTATTTTCTTATTTGGTGTAATATTGATCTGCGATGAGCTTAAATGGAGAGACATGGTAACATGTCTGCCTCAGTTAGAGCGTGACAGATCTGTCTTTCCTCATAACCCGTTTTAACCCAAAGCGTATAATTTGTCCTTAACCAATGGAAATATGTGTGATCATTTAGGCAATTAAATCTCATCACAATGACAGATGCAAGCAGACATGCATGTTAACTGCACACATACAAGTGGGGAGGAAAAGTGTGAGTATCTGCAAGGAACCAGACTTGTTTTTATCACTGCTCATGTCGTTTCCCCCCCTTTTTGCAGGTAAGATTAGTGAAGATGGTTAATGAAGCTACTGCTAATATCCCTGGATGGGAGACAGAGTGAGAATGAGCAAACTTGACTTGTGTATTTACCTATATTTATACTTTGGCCATCTTCCGAACCACAGCGCATGGTCAATAGTTCCCAGAAGGCTTCAAGATGGATTATCTTTAGACCAAATATATGATTTAAACAAGTTAAATAGAAGTGGTGTCATACTAGAGTAGTTCTGTTCTTCATAGATATTTCTCTTCTCCCTCCATGGTACTTGTGGACTAAACTATAAAGCTAGTATTCTTTTTGTAAAAATCTGTTGTGTAATGTCTTTAAAAGTGTAATAGGTGATCTGAGGTCTTTTTGAGCTAAATTATGTCACACAAGTTTTTGTGTCTATAGAAGTGATCTTTAAACTTAACCGATGGCTGACTTATGCTGGAATTTTTCTTGTTTCTTTGTGGAGGCAATATTCTGTAGTTGCATTACACTGATGTAATTTTCACTTACAATTGTTTCTTCTGGTGTTTTTCCTTTTGAAAGAATCAGTATGAGTTATAAAGTTGGAAGTAAGGGGTCGATTGGTGTGATGGATAAGAGAAAGTTATCATGGGATAAAATTTTAGTATCTCTTAGGGACCGTTTGGTGTGAGGGATAAGAATATATAGTCTTGGGATAAAAGTTTGGTGTCTTGTTTGGTTGACATGTTTGGGATAACTTATTCCACCATTTATACCATAGTGATGGGATAAGTTATCCCTATCCCATATACAGGGTGGGATAACTAACCCCAAAATAATTAATCATGGGATAACTAGTTCCGAACCAAACTAATCCCTTGTATGATTACCGAGATGAGATAGCTTATCCCAGGATTAATAAATAGTACTGGATAAGTTATCCCTCTCTAGGATGAAATAGTAATCCCAGGACAACTTATCCTGGGATAAAGTATGCAAAATAACATTACCCCCTTAAACTCTCTTTGATACACCACTTTAACATTCATCTATATTAACATAATTTTTAATAACTATAGTAACCTTCACAACCTTAATTAATAGTTTTTTTTTATGATAATATATTTTTCTATTTAAAAAAATTACATTTTATAAATATAATTTTTATTTATGAATATATTATAAGTTGAATTTATTTGCATAATTCTTATGTTTATTTACATTTTGATTTCTCTTGAAATATTCACTCCACTACTAAATTACATATCTTGAAGGGGAATTTTCGCAAATAGCCACTATAATAAACTTAATTATGATCCATAGCTATAGTTTGTATATTTACGGGTTGTAGCTACAGTTTAAGCTGTTTCGTTTGTATAATTCGCGGGTTTGTATAATTTGCGGGTACATTTGTATAATTAAGTTATTTTTGTATAAACTCGAAATAATGAATTTATACAATTACAAACATATGAAGTGTAAGCAGTTATACAAATTATATTATACAAAATTTATACAAATTATATTATACAAATTTCGAATTATACAAACGTGCGAATTATACAAAACTAAAAAGCTAAGTCGCGTAATTATAGCTAAAAGTAGGTCGCGAATTGTAATTAAGATAAACTATAATTAACTAGTATATGTTTGCTTATACGCGTCATTTTTCCTAAAATTTGAATTAAGTAGTTTATTACTCACTTAAAAATTATATACCATGTATCAATTACAATATAGATAACTTCAATAAAATTTATTTTGCTTTGATAAACTAAAAATATAAGTTTTATTTTTAAGCTAAATAAGATGGAAATTTTATTTTTAAGCTAAATAAAGATGAAAGTTTTATTTTTAAGCTAAATAAGATGGAAGTTTTATTTTAAAGTTAAATAAGATGAAAGTTTAATTTTAAAAACACATGACACAATCATGGAAATGCACACAAAAAAATATTTAAGCTAAATACAAGAAATTTTTATTTTTAAGAATGAATAGCTAAAGCTTGCAAAGAAAGTGTAAAAAAAAAAACTAAGGTGAAGGGTATTTTTGTAGACAAACAACTTATTTTTAAAAATTATGTAATGAATATAAGTTTGAATATGACAAACCAAACAAACAATAAAAACTACTCCCAGCATAAATTATCCCCAACATAAGTAATCACATCATAACTTGTATTCAAACCAAACGACCCCTAAGTATAACTCAAACATGCGGAAAAATAATATAACTTATAAATGCCCCAGAACTTGGCGTCACATGTACAAGCCTCTAAGTATTACAATATATACAAGTTTGGATGTCTTTGTTTCTAGAACAGAACAAGAACATAATGAGAGAGTAAGAGGTGTCTGTTGAGATGACAATCAACTACCTCACAAATTCTCAACAATAAGCTTCGAATGTAGAAGAGAAGAGAGAGTAATCACGTTGATATGTGTTCGTAACCTACACAAGTGTAGAATCAAAGGAGTGGGTACCAAACAACAATGGTATTCAACAAGCAACTAATTAACTATTAATAAAGCAATACAAAACACATGTACTCCCAACACTCCAACCGAACCTCCACAAACTACAACATGCACAAAATCAGACCACCCAACCTAACAATTCACAATGTATATAGCACACAACACGTATAACAACATCTCAACATAGTGTATCAGAATCAATGCAAATAGGCATGTTCACACGATTAATGAGAAAATGACAATTTTCATATCAATACACAAATCATATCAACACAATCATGATACACCATCAATTATGAATCAATATATATGTTCAAATCACCCATAACATATCACACATCAATTACCATCAAGTTTCCTTTTTATTTCCCTTTTTTTCATCATGAGAATCATTCAACATGAATAAGTGACGACAAATATCAAACCCCTCACCAATTTTCATTACTCTCCAACACACAATAATGAATACATGATTATATATGCTTAATAAAAGGTCAAGAGGTTCACTTGCCTCAAGAAAACAATCAATCAATCCGGCACTTAAGCTTTCCCTTTCTGTTGGGTCTTCAAATCAACACAATCTAAACAAATATGGAATCACAATAAGAATTCGAAACCAATAACACCCATCTCAATGATTTTGAAAATCGAAGTCAACTTGGCCCAAAAATTCATTTTTGAAATTAGGATTAAATCTGAAAATTTATATAAAATCACGTTACCCAAAATATTTGGAACCCAATAGTAAAAATCAAATAAAAATGAGTTAAAATCAACATTTAATCCTAATTTTCTCAAAGTCTTAAGTTCTTGAAAAATCTCCAAACTTTGCAATTCCAAAACATTAATTTGATGTTTAAAATCATAAATGATAAATGAAAATGAAGATTTAGGATCACAAATACTTACCCAAATAATTTATCTTGAAAACCCCTCTTGAAATTGCCTCCCAAGAGTTCACAATGCTAAAAAATGGTGGAATGAGGAAGAAATTCTGATTTCAAAATTTCATTAAAATGCCAGTCATTTATTCTCTGTGAACGCAGACATTGTCCGCGAACACGTAGGTCGACCCTCCATAATCCTTCACGAACCCTTCTCCCGTGAACAAGAAGAGTAAAGTCACCAACCCTCTACGAACGCGGAGGTCCATACTCCGACCCTTCAGAATTTTGGTCGAGCCTCCATGAATGAGGAGGTCCCCACACATTACTTTTTGCTAACGCGATCACCATCTTCACAACATATGATGAGTTAGGCACCGACAACTGCAAACCAACAACATAACACCGAACAACATTACACTCAACAACAAGACACCAAATGGACCTTAGAAATTTGTTTGGAATCCAACACAAATCCAAATATGATATCCTACTAAATTCGATATTTCGGAATCAATAGAATCATCGAAAAATAGATTTGAGGTCTTCTTGACCCGAAATTCATAAATGTCACAATAAACTAGCTTTCACCCGAAAATACCAAACTGCTCTCGGAACCTCTAAAAATTCAACTAATGTCTCACCTAGGCCTAATATCATCCCCAAATTCAATGGAATTGTCAAAAATCCAATCCGAACATCTGAACTCTAAATGTTGACCAAAGTCAATTCATAGTCTAAATACACTAAAATTTTCAACTCAAGGGCTCAAATCCACGAAATAATTTCGAAATAGAAAACAACAACATTACGAGACCAAACTCCGCATTTCAAAGCTGATGGAACTGTCAGAATTCTATTTCGCGACTCGAAACTTCAATTGTTACCAAAAATTACTTTTAACAATTTTAAACTTCCAAAAACTCAAAAACTTCCAAAAGTCGCAACTTTTCAATTAAATTTCAAAAACAACTTCATAAACTGATTAAACATTACTTGGGACCTCTATTAGGAGGGAGTAAGACAATAATGTTAAAAAATTTCAAAAATAACCTTCAGGATCATTATAGGAGTGTTAGAGGTTGACACCTACACAACTTCCTCCTTGATTTGAAATTATCACCTTCTTGAACATATGTCGAAATAAAAGCTCTCTTATAAGCAATTACAGCTCCCACAACAACTTTAGCCTCCTCTACCTTCTCTGAAAATAACTTGTTGCTCCTAGTAGTAATCGTCACACTTCAACTGCTTAATGATGTTGCTTGGAAGATATCCTTTTTAGGTAGACTTTGATCCTTGGAGATGTGTCTCATCTGCAATTCAAGCTTTTGAATAAAGTCAGTACATGAACTTATCATTTTAGACATGTTGTGAATTGTAGCATCTATTCTCTCTTGGTTTTACAAAACATTTTAAAGCATACCTTTTAAATTAGAATTGTTCTATTAGAATGATTGTTTTGTACGAGTTAAATGTCTACCTTTAAAGAGGTATATACAAATTAACACTCTTGTATCCAAAATTATTGTTGTTTTGCTTCTGATTATTTTGGGCTTGGTGCCTGACCCCTTGGTTATCTTGACCTTGCGGTTGTGGTCTCCACTAGTTTTAATAAGTTGCCCCTAATAATTCTAATGTTGATAATCACCTTGAGCGTTCTTCATAAAATTAACTTTCTCAAACTATATTAGAAGAACCTTAAAAATATCGTCTACTGAACATAATTTATATGTGACACAACCTAGACATCTTTGATCAATTTAATCTTTTCCAAATCACTTTTTACAAACTTTTTGGTCAGAAGAGCAATATTGATGGCCATATTAAGACTAGTTGATCACACTCCTGATTTTCCTTGATAACCGCAATGAATAAGGGATTATCATAAAAGATACCATAATTATTGTTCGATGATTCCCATGCTGTTGGAGTACTGACCCCCAGATTTGCCCAAGGAACATGTATATTCTATTTGTTCCTTTGCAAACTACAACAATTACATTATGTAAAACAAATAAAGTAATGACACAATATTTTATCGCGAAAAAACCCGACTCATAAAGGGTAAAAAACCACGACCTATACCTCTGTAGGAT